TAGGCCGACTATTGTCGTCCTAGTATGGCCTCCTTTGAGAGAGTGCGCCCACACACCTGTACGAAAGAGAGAGTTTTAGAGAGAGAGAGAGAGAGAGAGAGAGAGAGAGAGAGAGAGAGAGAGAGAGAGAGAGAGAGAGAGAGAGAGTTTTAGAGACAGACAGACAGACAGACAGACAGAGAGACAGACAGAGAGACAGACAGAGACAGAGAGACAGAGAGACAGAGAGACAGAGAGACAGAGAGACAGAGAGACAGAGAGACAGAGAGACAGAGAGACAGAGAGACAGAGAGACAGAGAGACAGAGAGACAGAGAGACAGAGAGACAGAGACAGAGAAAGGGAGAGAGAGGGAGAATAATCCGCTGCGACAAACACAAGCTGAACAGCTGCGGGCACAGCTTCCACCGACGAAAACACGACCAATATTTCTCGGCGTGTATTTCACCTGAAACCAACGCGTTTTTCGTATTTCGGATGATACACGGTCGCCTTATCAATATTGGTAGAACGCTGCCACAACAGCAGTTTATCCGTGACAGCGGGCGGGGCGCCGGAGGGGAGGGGGCAGTCCTCACCACCCAGCAAGAGACAAGTATTGTACACAGAGTAATGTCTTGCGTCGTCCTATACAGTCACACAGTCCGGAGTACTGATGCTTGGTGACCTTTATCACCCTGTTCGAGCGCCACAGCGGGGTCTGCAAAACTTGGACCCCCCCCCCCCCACCGGCACCTGCTCGACTGAACTGAAGAGACTTGTCATGTGGGAACACGGCGGATATGATGGCATTGCAGCGCATCCTCCATGCGACTCTTCCAATACCTCACGGCGCTTCGCGCTTGGTGATGTGAGAGGCTGGTCCGGTGAGAGCCCGGCGTGCTCCGTCCCGGCTTTGTAGGGATGCGAGGTCAATGGTCTATCGACTACGGCATGCACGGCTGAGGACACCCCGCCCCCAATCATCGTGATATTGCAGGCATCGATTTTCTGCATCTGTCGCCTGTTGACTTGTTGTTTTCGAAGAACACAGCACCGTGTCGGTTGGAATACCGTTGGAACACCGTTTGAATACCGTTGGGGTTCGTGATGGAAGACCGTAACTTACCGTCCCGTCGTTGTTGCCGGCGGTCATCATCACCGGGCTCGATCCCGCCGCCCTGCCGATGCTCCTGCTACCGCCGGTTTGTTGTCGCAACGCTGGGCCTGTTGCATAGAACAAGAGAGCAAAATGTCACATGCATACCACGGCTCAGAAAAGAGCAAGCAAATACCTGCGGCTAGCCCGACTCAATTTCGTCAAGGATACTAAAGTACTGTAAAACCGCGAGAGGATCGAAGCGAACAACAGTTTGAGCACGCCGTTGTATGCGAGAGCCGACAGTAGTGATTGTTGCTGCCCAAGATCGAGCAGAACTAAATCCGCATGAACCCCGCTCGTGGCTGGGTGTATGCATAGATACGGTTATGTGGAGACCACCTTCATAAAGGTACTATCTCCGCGTTTTTCTACTGTAGGATGTACTGGTCTCACTGCTTCATGCGACCTGCTTGCTGTGAACCCGGGTGTTATCTACCATAAGATGTAGCCAGCGCTCACAAACAGCAATATATGAGTATCGTACTCCGCTGCCGGGTCGAACTGCTGAGCAGTGACTCGAGAACATTGTGCTGGTGCGACCGTGCCGTGCTGCATGTATAATAGAGCAATCGGTGCACCAATTGGGTGCACAACCCTGAAACCGTGCGACAAGCTACGTACGGGGCAGGATGCGACCTAAAGCGGCAGTCGAGTGCACAGAGCACCAACGCACAACGTGTGCACTTTTCTCCGGCCCGTCATGCAACTGGACGAGAAATCATCTCTGCTGCTGTAACTCTAATGAGCTAGACGCTGCCGTCCGACTGCAGTGGGAGCAGCGAGCTCCTCCAAATAGTCTACAGCAGCAGTGCCCCACGCGTGCGTGATCGAGCTGCATCATGTTTCCGCGCAAGTCTGAGTCAACAGCAGCGCTCACGCAATCAAGAACAACAACATCCGACAGCTCACCAGGGACGTGGAAGCCAGAGGACAAAGGGGCAATAGCCACCAGGCAAGCCATAGCGTGTGCTGGTGCCAGGATCATGATAACAGCAGCAATGATATGTGCCAGCTCGGGGAGACGTAGAAATGCGGCGGAATTTCGGCATTTTCATATTTTCATGGAGTTCAACAATCGTATCACGGCCAACTCGCGAAATCTTTGTGTCGTTTCGACGCGGTGGGTCGTTACGGTCGTAGCTTACGCACGACGCTACCTGCGGTGACGACAAGGTTGAATGCTTTTGTTGGCACTCTCGTTTTCCATCTAAAAGATTTCGGAGGCTATTGGTGGGTGCCATATATGATGAAGGAGGGAGATGACCTGGCAAGCACCTGGCCGAAAGCAACAACAGCAGTAGCCCGCAGGAAATCGTCGAAGCTGTCCCACAGATCTACAGGATCGAGGTAAATATTATCACCGGTCTACATGTAGATGGCACGTAGAACTTGTGCTGCTGTAGGAATCCGCAGCATGCGCGGGATCTGTAATAGCCTCACTCCCCTCGTGATTCGATATCATTTATCCGGTTCTTGCAACGTGCCAAAGGAACGCCAAGCGCATTCATTCATAAAACTACAGCGTTCGTAGGGTCACATACAGTAGTGTAGGCCCCCCCGCGTAGGAAGTTGTTGAGCCGCCGGCTCATACAACATTTTTGTGTAGCTTCGACACAAAAACAGAACAATTTTGCTGTGTGTGCTGACTGACACAGCTGCTGATGCTGTGCTGGTACTGCTAACTGTTGCTCGCGAAACAGCGATAGCTCCCCTCGCCCTCAAGCTGGAAAGTCTGCACGTAACCACTAGTCTATTACTCACTTCCCCAACACCTCTCTCTCCCGCTAGGCCTTGTCACCTGCTTGACAGATAGGAAATCGGGAGGGGAGAAAACACAGGCCTACAGCAGGAGTTACGCTCTGATAGTGACTCCACACATAGGTCTGACCGGATGTTGAACCGTAGCTCCGCACAAGGGACGTGTCACACACCCATGGCCGAACCACCCGCCCCTAACCCTCACCCATGGCCAACGGGGGACCTGGCGACCCAAAACTGGGCACCGTGTTTCTCAGAAGAACGCGAACAGCGAGAGAGCGCTGGAGAGAAAAATACTGTTCGATCAATTAGAGAGCGTACGCTCCTTAGACCAAGGACGAGTCGCTAATTGACCAAGCAAACTCAGGACTGAGAAGACACGCAACGAGCAGTAGTTATTCCGGCACTAACACGCACAAACACGTTCAACACTCACAGCACATCCCAACGCCTGTGTGCCAGAACCATCTAAGATACGCAACGTACATAGATAGCATTTCGCCCTTTTCGTTCCCCGAAATACATGCTCTTGTTGTATTGTACTTCCACTACTAGCGGCCTCTTCGACGCAGAATGCGGAGGGGGGGCAGGGAACGAGAATGTGCAAGACGAAGACTCCCCCAGTCCGCCGCGAGTACGACGAAGGTCCAGCAAGCGCGGCGCAGGCGTCTCCACGGCTCGGCGGAACAGTGCCCTCTGCCTCGCCCTCTGCGTCTCCGCGACGTCTCTTGTCTGGATCATCACGAGAAACACGAACGGAGGGGCCGGTGGTGGTAAGTCGTGGCAGCAGCGCGCCCCCAACCCCCTTTTTCAATGCATCGAAAATCAGCTCGTTTGCTGGAAGTCTTGGCCTTCCCTGGGACATGCCTTTTCTTCCCGGTAATGTATCGTGTTTAGCACCTCCTACGTGTCAAGGTACCTATTGTATCAGACGGTATGCTTCATAGATGGTTTTGCCCAAGACGAGTCTTGCCGCTGACTGTCTGTTTCTCCCGCATGACGATCACCAAGGCATGCATCTGGGTAGTGTGCGTGTGTGTATCGAGAGAGAGAGAGAGAGAGAGAGAGAGAGAGAGAGAGCCAGACATACAGACAGACAGAGACGCTGTAGCTTTCAATGGAAGCGTGTGTGCGCCGAGGAAGAAAGACCACGCCAAAATTCCTAGCACATGGTACAGCTGCCACAGCTCCCCGTATCTGTTCCAACTCCGTGGCTACTTCCATTTTACGCACCCGGAACGCCGATAAACAAGCGTGGGTCGTTGGGTGAAACTGTTGCGAGGCTCCGTGTCCTAAAACGACCAACAGTATATCTCATAACGGGTGGTGACATCAGCGAAGGGGGGTAGAAAACAATTTCATTTCACCGTGACGTCTCGAGAATGAGTTGTTGGTCCTCGAGGACAGTTTTCCTGCCCGCAGCGGCCCCGTCGCGGTTCTTGCGACGGTATACACCCCACACCCCCCACAGTGCCGTGGGGTATGAAACACAAGGTAATACCCTCGGCTACCCTCGGCGGGCTGAAAGACGAAACGTTGCACAAAAAAACTTGGCCATAAACATGTCATCGCGTCCATGGTCATCGACTCTGCAGGATTCGACACCCTCAGCCCCTGGAGCGTCGGCCTAAAAACGCCAGGGGGGAACAGGCCGTCCAAGTCGGTAAGGGCCGGCCCTAACTGGGTACCTACCGGTCCCGAACAGGTGTGTGCGGGGGGGAAGGAGAATCTGGCCACCTGTTTGATATATTTGAGTCGTCGTCCCATCTATTCTGGGTACCTTTGCGCGGAGGTCACACAGGAGGAATTCTCCGGCGTTTTGCTCCTGCGGTGCTTGCCGCCGTCTAGTGAGCTAACGGCAACAAGACCCGATAATGAAGTGGTAGAGGAAAGCCTTATGTGGAATGGCATTGCGTTCAGGTTTGGGGGCTGAATGTAGGAATCTGAGTTGCGAACACCCCCGCCCGGCTAGAGCGAAGGTATCTCACTCCACCAAGACACCAGCGGTGGTTGAGAAAGTACCATCACTGCCGTCGAAGGATTATAGGTGTGGTCTTTGCGTGGTAGATGTTTATATTCAACAAGGAAACGCGCCTTCGCGACGAAAGCCTACAAAAGCCTACAACAGACAAAAATCGAAAGTTGAGCGGCGATGGTGATTCCGCCCTTGGGGTATGCAAAGGCCAGCACTGGCGAATGCCTGGCGAGGAAACTAGCGCCCGCCTCCCACTCCGATACACCAACCGCTACAGTGGAGGGCCCTCAGCAGTGCCAGAATGTGCGCCAACAAAGCACGGGCACTATTCAGAGGCTCCGGCACAATAATTGCGCGATGAAATAGCATTACAACTGTGCCAACCGAATTTTTGTCCGGCACTACACCTATTCAACCAGCACTACACTAGTGAGGGCCCTCGACGGCCGTGCTCTGCGTCGGACCGAATGCATGCCGGCATGTATGTGAGCAGCGTAGTAGCAGACGAAACAGCGAGCATCCCGGCCGCTCTTAATCCGCCGCCCCCGCCCCAGGGTACCGGCATCGTAGGAGGCGGGCCCGAAGAAGCCTTCCGCCGCGCCGCGGCCGACAGGCAGCGCCGAGGGAAGCAGCAGAAGACGCGGCTACAGGACCCTCGCGCGAGCTACCTCGAGAAGCTCGTGCATGTCCAGCAACAACAGCAACAACAGCAGCAGCAGCAGCAGCAGCAGCAGCAGCAGCAAGAAGAAGAAGGGAGGCCGGAAGACGCGGTCGGGGTTGCCAGAGACGCCGCCGGCATCGCTCTCGCGGCCGCGCCTGGCGACGTCGACCCCCGATGGAGGCCTCTCGGGGCGCCCTCCCGACCGGACAAAACCGCCACCGCCGCCGCCGCCGGTGCTGGTGGTGGAACGGGAGGTGACGCGGGTGATATCGGTTTCGGTGGGGGGGGTGCTGCTGGTGCTGGTGCTGGTGGTGCTGTTGGTGGCGGTATCCG